TTTTGGAAGAAACTCCGGTTGGTTTTGGTCCCCCGAGAGCCGAGGAGGGGCCCCCCCCCCCCCCCCCCCCCCCCCCATCCTCCCCATTCCAAAGGATACAATCCCTCCATGAGGAAGCGTTCCATCAGCCTGGAAAAGAGAGAAAGTGCCACACTGAGGAAACTGAGTCCAGCTCCTGCAGGGGACGGCCGGGCAGAGTCCCTTGGAGGGGGGTGTCAAACGCACCATCGGCCTGGAGTCCTTGTGCCCCCAAAAGAGACCCAAGACCAGCCCCCACCCACCCACCCTGCCCCATGAAATCCACTGATTCTCATCTGGCCCCAGTTGGCCTTGAACGCTACTAGATCAGATTCTTAGTGAATACAGGTAGTCCCCGACTTATGACAGTTCTGTTTAGTAACCGTTCGAAGTTACAACGGCACTGAAAAAAGTGATGGGTGACCATTTTTTCCCACCCTTTTTCCGCATCCCCATGGTTGCACGATCAAAATCTGGACGCTTGGCCCGTCTTGTATTTATGACGGTCGCAGTGTCCTGGGGTGGAGGGTCACGTGATCCCCCTTTTGGGACCTTCTGACCAGCGAAAGCCCTGGAGGAAGCCAGAGTCACTTAACAACCGAGTGACTCACTTATCGACTCACTTAACCCGTGTGGCAAGAAAAGTCGTGAAAATGGAGCAAAACTCGTCCTAACAAAATTTCTCACTTGTTAGCAACGTAAATTCCGGGCTCCATTCTGGTCGTAAGTCGAGGACTACCCATCGGTACCATTGAATCGACAGATTTTGGATCAACCACTGTCCAAATAGCAGCAGCAGCAGCCCTTAGCCTGATATACGGCTTCCCAGCCCTCAACCTCTGACCCCGCAACACTCTGGGTCCTCGTTTTACCCACCTGGGACGGGCGGAAGGCTGAGTCAACCTGGAGCTGGTCAGGATCGAATGGCTGGCAGTGAGCAGTGAGTTAACCTGCTATACTGCATTCTAACCACTGCACCATTATCA